CCCCAAAGGATGCCAGAAAACCGAGTAACGAATTAAAAGTTAAACTGCATTTGAATATGAATGCTAAACGAAATCGGGTCTATCCTGAATTAAGTGCTGGTGATGAAGGTAAAATATTTAGGAAGAGGAAACCCAATGAAAAAGAACGTGTATCAAATTGGTCGCAAAATGTTTATACCATAGAAAGAATTGACGAAAAGCTGGGTCAAAAGTATTATTATGTTGAAAGTAACAATAGAGCGTATTTACGCTTTGAGTTGTTAAAAGTGTAATTTTCTTTTGATAAAAAATTTTCTTAAGAAAACACTTACAGAAATAACACCTATGTATATTTGCAGGGAAATGTTCACTCAGAAAGAACAGGATGAAATCATAAATGATTTTTTGGATGTTGCCAAGGTTAGCGATTACATCAGGGAATTGAAGAAAAACGAGATAGTTGTAAATGTAAGGATTGTAAGAAACATGATCGTTATTGCGCTTTATACGAATTACCACTGCCAGAAAATATTATTAATAATATCTATGGCTTTGCTTATCGGTGTTGGACATGCGAAAAGACCATCGAAAAAGAGGAAGCATTAGAAGAACGTCTTGAAACCAATGATTTATGTTTATATGATGTTGATAAGCTTATTTTAAGCTTGGATCGCTTGTTTCCGATGTATGATTCAGTTAAACATGTGATTACAAACATAACTATGAAGAGATACAACATGTTTAAAAAGTTATTTGATGCAATGATGTATTGTAGAGACAAAGAAGAAATCAAAACATGGATACAATATACAATGAAATATAATGTTAATGCTACAACATATGGTTTCAACAAAATTGTTAGAACACTATTGAATAAACCTGAGTTTGACTTAATGGATTAAACAAACAAAACATTATTTATATTATTATGCTATGGTTGATACCACCCTAAACCCAAAAAGTTTACTACCCTTGATTTTGAAAATTGCTTTTTGTGTTTTTTTTTGTTTTCTGATTGTTTGTGTATGGTGTTTTCCAATGTTTTTGTTGCGATTTTTGTGTTTTTATCGTTTTAAAACCGTTATGCTTCAGGCTTATATTTTGTTGTACTTTTGTTGTTTATTGTTTTATTTTTTGAAAGTATTTTTTATATATTAACCAAGGCACTGGTGGAGGTAGATGTCGGTCTGCGCGTTCTCGGTGGTGTTGTAGAGAACGAGGATTGACGTTGAGCTTGTCGTCGTTTCTCCTCGCGCCGGGGGGAGTGGGAGGTAGTGAGTTTGGGTCCCTTGAATTTTGGGGGGAGTGTCCCCTAGAATTTTGGGGGAGTGTCCCCTAGAATTTTGGGGGCGTGTCCCCTAGAATTTTGGGGGAGAGTACCCCACAATTTTTGGAGACTGTCGGGGAGGGCCGCCAAGAAACACATGTTTTGTGTCGTGTGCTTTATGCAGCTACGACTTACTCAGGTCTGCAAATCATCTCTGCACCTAATCAGCCTACATGCATCTACACTTAATAATTTGTCGAGCCCAACTCAAACGCAGAATATGACTCTGAGACATTTTGCAATCTCAGCGAGCCTGTCGGCAAGGGTCTGTGATGGGAGCACGAATCCCAGCTTAGCTGATTCGGCTTGGGGTGCGTGCATCTGACCGTGATGAAACACTGGATCCTTCATCGGCAACATTGCCAGAAGAATGCTCTGACCGTGGCTCCGGGTGGCTTTTCAACACCTTGAACTGTTTATATTTGGCCTGGATGATAAGCGTCTTCGAGGTTGCATCCCTTGGGTAGGGCATGTGCGTCTGCATCCACTCCAAAAGAGAGCGCACGCTGTGGTAGGTGCCTTGAATGGTCACCACGGTCACATTCTCTCTTCGCTGCACTGTTCCACCCAAAGCGCCAGGAAAATACTTTTCCACGTGGTCAGACAAGCGAGCCTTGATGCCATAATCAGTTGACCTGTCAGAGGTGCTGTTTGACTAAAAAAGTTCAGAGCAAATGTGTAGCTTGGAAATAGACTAGTCTCTCCTTTCGATACAGTAGCATCACGGGACCTGTAGGAGATTCGGCACCGGATCCACTGCTCTTGTTGGACAGCTCCCAGGACTTCCTCGCAAAGGGACAACTGGTTCAACTGCACTGCTGCAGTTGGCGCAGCTCTTGGATGAATGGCCGCACCTGTCACAAGCAACACAGTCGCACCAAGTCGTATTAAGGTATCCAAACAAACTGACGAATTAGGCTGACTAACCAGGCTGGAAGTTGGGCTGGAAGTTGGATGATGGCGGGAAAGAGCAAAAGGAAGAAACAATGCAGCCATGGCGCCTGCAAAATCGGGCAAATGATCAACCAAGACTGCGGTCGCGGCATGTGCGCCATAGCCCTGGGCAACGAGTAGGGATATCTTCGAGTCCACGGCAAGTGCCTGAACAGAATCTCACTCAGCCTACCTAACAACTGCTGATCAAAGAAAAGAAAAAACTCATCACAGAGTAATGACCAACAGCTGAGCTGCAGCCTCTCCAGATGCTGCTTTGAGAGTGAGTTCGCCAGGGTTGACTTGGCTCAGGCGCGGGTTCTGTCTGATGATTTTATGCTTGATGCTCGCCACGATATCGTCTTCGGCGTAGTGAACGAAGTCAGCCTCGTGGGAACCGCCGACGACGATCTTGAACCAAAAACACTGGCTTGCCATGGCTGCAGGCGTCCACGTAACAAGCTACCTGCGGACACCCCCCCTGACAATAGGTTGACCTACTAGTGCTGCAAAACTGTGTGACATGTTCGACATTGCTAAAAATAGAACGCTACCACCAACTTGAGAAGACATCCGCCCAATGGAGCATCGCCAACCAACCCCGCTAAAACTGACACTGAAGTTCTCGATCCTGACAACCCAGACACGCATGGAAATTCCAGCAAACCGAATCAAATTGCATTTAAGCCTGTCAGAACTGCACTAATCCACATGCGCCGCAAACATGTGCAGGCACTCACACTAAGGGACGTGTCCTCGTGCAAGGCGCCGTCGTGGCTGTGGCCGCTGTTGATGAAGCAAACCGAGTGGCTCCGCAACGCAGAGAGATATTATCAATGCCCTAGCGCCCTCTGTCAAAGGTGCGCCGTTTCTCAGAGGTTGGGTAGTAGGTTGTCGGGCTAAAGATTGCATCTTGTGTATGGCGATTTGCCGATTGTATCTTGGGTTGGATGCGGGTGATATGCCGAAAAAGAAACAACGATAACCCTTAACCCTAAACCCTGAACCAAATCCTACGAGAACCCCCTTGCCTATTTAGGCTAATAATGCCACCTTAGAAATAATAGATGGGGTTATGGTTATTCCTAGAATTGTGTTGATTATGGGGAAGTAGTAGTGATATAAGGGTGAATTGTAGGGGGGAGTATAGGAATAATCATCTAATGGGTTGGCGGTGGCATTATTAACCAAACTGGGCATGGCCCTCCCTAACTCTATATAGGGTTTAGGGTGTCCAAAAACAAGGATACCTTTCAAGGGTTATAGGGGATCCTTGTACGGGTTATATAGGGGTGATATAGGGCTATATAGGGTTTAGGGTTTCCAAGTACCATTTTGAGGGGTACCAATACGAAGGATTCTAGAATTGTCGGGTCTATATTGGGGTCCCCTATCTTGGAAAACTGCCATATGGGGTCCAGCTATACATTAAAAAAAAGTAAAACGCTGTTCAACAACAACCTAGATACTCGGGGAATTAAAACCTAAACCCTAAACCCTCATCCAGGTGAGCTTGTTCTACATGGCGACCACTTGGAGGGTCAGGGAGACTTAGCAATTCAGTTCATAGTGGGAGGATTGCTGGGGTTGCCATATGACTTACCTCTGACTCTGCACCCGAAACTCTCCACCATATGTTTACTATGTCCCCCTGACTCTGAACCCTAAACCGTATCTTTACTATGTGAACCTGTGTCTAAACCCTAAACCCCAAGCCGTATATCACTATGTCCACCCGACTCCGAAGCCTAAAGCCTAAACTGCATATTTACTATGTCCCCGTGACTCTACGCCCTCAACCCCAAAACATATCTTTCCTTTGCCCTCTGACTCTCCAAGCGAGTATGGTTGCGTTTGTGTACTTCTACAGCTGACGGATCAATTTTGTGTTAACTATTCACTCCCAGCGCTTGACACAGTGTAGGAATTAGGGTTGAATAACACCCACATCGAGACCAAGGATTCATCGCAAACACAATGCATGCGAAGCTAAACAAAAGCTCCGGCACCGTTGGGTAATCACTTGAACCCACGGAGCTCATTTTAATCTTGACAAGTGTTAACGAAATTGCTTAGGCACGCCACAAACCACCGGCAAACATCTGAACAGACGTCTTATACAAATGACGGAACGGGGTGCGTATGATAGCAACCAGCCCCAAGCCCTCCCCCCCCTGTTACTTTATAAACCCCTATATAACCCCTATACAACCCCAATTTCTACCCTATATACACCCTACATATATATATATAACTAACTATATGCGATACTTGCTTTTCTTTGTTGGCCGAATCGATATGCTGGTGGGCCTCTGTTCATGGTCCTACGGCACAATAGCACATAGGGGTTTAGGGTTTAGGGGTTTAGGGTTTAAGGTTTAGGATTTAGGGGTTTAGGTGTTTAGGGTTTAGGGCCTTAGGGATGCTTTGGGTGGTTGAACCAAGCAAGATTGTTTTCTTCTTCTAGATTACTATACCGGAAAAGTAGACCTCACGATAGATTGGGGGCTGTAGCATCCCCATTGGAAAAACTGCTCACATGAAGTTTGCGCCTACTTCTTCTCAGCCACAGATACCCGATGGGATTAAGATTCAAAGGCCTCAAAATCCTAGAATTTTGTGACATCCCTTGAGTGCACAACTAGCGTATTTGCTAGTTTCCCTCAGTGCCTTATATGGAACCCAAAATACCGCAACCCCTAGCCCCTAAACCCTAAACCCTGACTAGTGTGGGGACCCCAAAAAAGCTACCCCCAGTTGTGGGAAACGCCCATGTCTGACCGGGAACCGTCGCAAAAGAATAGTTTAGCTGGCGGCTCACAGGAAACATTTTGAGAAAAAGACTGGACAAACAAAAACATGCTCAAGACACCTGTGGTGAGTATAAGGCCGTTTGCGGGCTTAAAACATTCAGACTAATTTGTTCTGACGTGCCAGCAGCACAATTACCATCTTACCAAGGGGCAAGAATCTCGTTTCGGCGCATTCATCAAAACCGGCCCCTTCTCTTGTAGAGCCCTACGAAAACACACCAGTTGGATCGGCAAAAAATGACTCACAATTTCAGAAATCCCAAGCCTTTTGAGCCTCTATAACCAGTTCCCGAAAGGACAAACACGACCCATTCCCTTGAGAACCCCTGCCGTTCTGCACTTCTACAGGAGATGTCAATTAGCAGCGCATGGGGCTCAGGATTTAGGGTTTAGGACCTAGCCATAAACCCTGAACCCTAAACCCTAAACCCTAACTTAAGGTTTAGGACCTAGCCATAAACCCTGAACCCTAAACCCTAAACCCTAACTTAAGGTTTAGGACCTGGCGGTTTAGAGCTTGTGGCCTTGGGACGAAGGGATTGGGTGCTTGGAGGAGACTACAGGAAAGGACCTGTGGGAAGCCTGTCACAGACTGTATGGGACTACCTCTAAGGGATTTGGAACCCCAGTAGAAATTATGATTTCAGCTAAATATTAGGATTCTAGGTAACAGAAATTAAAAACATATTTTCAGGAACCTTGTAGCTACCATACGGTCTAGCGCCTCATTCCTTACTGAGCACTTGAGAGAGTAGATGTCCTACTTGGCGCTGCATGGGTACTTACCTAGTGCGTATAACTGTATGTATAAGCCAGCTATAACCATCTGCAGGAAAGTGGGGGGCAGCTGCAGCAATCAATAGGTTATGAGTACCGCGAACCTTCGAGGTCTAGGGTTTAGGGTTAGACGTTGCAGAAGCCCCAAGCCCTACACGCTTGAGGGATCTCCCGCGAGTTCCGCGAGGCCGGCGCATGCACTGTCTAGCATTGACTATGGTTTGGTTTAGGGTTTAGGGGTTTTGGGTTTAGGGGTCAAAGGTTTGGGGTTTAGGGGTTTTGGGGTTTGGGGTGTAGGGTTAGGGGACGTCGTAAGGTTGTTAACAATGGGGGATAAACGGGAATACAATGTGGCCCCTGCAGGGTGTTCAGAATACTTACTAAGTCCCCTGACCCTCCAAGTAGGGTTTTGGGGTAAGCATCACAGTGCTGCGCCACCAGCCGCTGAGCAAGGTGTGCTGGATGTCCCAATAGCGCTCAAGAAAACTGGGTTGGGTTAAGGAACTTGCTTTTCGGTCACTATGATGGGTATATATACGAATAACGATGGATACGGTTCCCCTCATATGGTAACGTAACTTCGGGTCCCTAAAAGCAACCCAAAAAATCAATGGTACTGATGGCAGTACTCCTTCATCAAAGACACAGGGTAATCTAGCGCAATACAGTAAGGCATTACTAGGTTTGCGCTTATGCTCTCAACTATTATATCAATGTCAACGCGCTTGCAATCCCCAACTCTTCCCACAAAAAAGGGGAGGCAAACGTTGCCCATGTTGCGACAAAGTTCACCTTCGTCTTACTGGTGCTTAAGAGAGAGTGGGGAAGTGGATCCCTATAATACTACCTATGTATGAGCTGTAGTCCAAAGTCCTAGCATCCCCCTTACAGTAATAGCCCTTAAAGTAGTTCCCCATATAATCGCCTATATAACCCCCAGTTAAGGAGTTTAGACTATAGCTCATATGATACCCCTATACTGGTACCTATATTCACTCCCCCACTCCCCCTTAAGCACCAGTAGGTCGCCTTGAGCCTCAGAGATAAGTCTGGCTCTGGGAGCTGTTTAGGGTTTAGGGTGTATAGCCCCCCTTAAGTAGATAGAATATGGGGTATATGGGGATCTTATTACAATATACCCAAAGCCATATTCTGTCTACTTAAGGGGGACTATAGGGCTTATCCAGAACCGCCTGAGGTCAGTTCAGGTTCAAGAACAAGTTTCTAAGCCTGGAAAATGTGGCGAATCTACATGGACGCATGTTGAGCCTCAAGGGTTTTTATGCATCATGGTGGGGTTTGATCACCATAGAGGTCGGCTGCCTCTTTGCAGACTCAAGTACTTCACGGGGAGTCGGCAGGTACATTACGAAACACTTGTGTCATTCACAGCAGGACTGTGACGGGACTAGAAGATTTGATCCAGTCATAACTTCGCTTTTCGCTAGGCTTCCCACCACAATGCGCCAAGCACAAGCAGAGTGTCTTTTGTACCAGTTAGACTAAAAAGTGGATGACGAGTTTGGGACATCCGCACGTGCGAAATCGTGAGTCTTGCAGTAGACGGAGCGGTGAGGGACTCAGTAGCTACATGTCTACCCTCCCTTTACCCTACCCTCTTCGCACATAACTGCGCTTGCCGTGCCCATGTTGCGCTTTATCGCACTAGTCCTTAAATCGGGTGTATCGGAAAAGGGCCCGGAAAAACTCATAAGGATCATTATAGTACATTCTTTGGGCCCCTCGTATGGCTCAAACAATGATATTTCAAGAAACTCGGATCGAGCAGTCCCCGCATCCACTACGTCTGTGGCAAAGGCCAGGTAGCGCTTCCTGGACCGAAAACAT